CCCCTTCTTTCTTTCCTCTCACTCCTTCCTACCTCATTTCACAAAGCATTTAAGGTCAATCAGTCACTATGAACCTAAACTTAGTGTCCCCAAACACCAAAAGAGATAACAGTTAAGTAAGATATGATTTGCTAATATTTGTTTCCTGAATTTTCACACTTCCTTTGTTACCAAATGTGAAAAGGTTAGAATGGAGTAAAACTTGACAACTTAAAATTCAGAAAGAAATTATGTGAATCTGCATAGTTGTCCCCCAGCTGAATGCTGTTTCTAAATATACAATGTTTCTCCATGGTTTCTTAGTCATAATTTAACTATTTCTAGATATGGACCCTGAAAATTAGTTTCTTCAAAAAATAATCTTGTCAATTTGTATATTTCTTTGCCATTTTTTTTTTCACCGAAATAAAGGATCTGGAAGAAAATTTTACTATTAATCACTAATGAAAACATAATTCTCTCAAGTAGCAGTCTCTTTATTTTCTTCACTGAGGCTAATTACATCCTCTGCCCTGCAGACTCGTTATGATTTCTGCAAGACCAACACAATGGATCATAGCTACATCATTATTTTTTCAGTTATTCTTTCATACTGTTCGCTTTAGATATTCTTTGCATCTGTCATAGTATTTTTGTAAGATTATCCTTAAACTTCATATCATAGTTGACTTCTGCTGTATACTTAACTATCGCACTGCACAGAAACAGTGTTATTGGAAATAGTATTGAGTTTGGCCCTCAATGTGTACATGACTTTTCTCCAAATCTGTACAGAGTATTGGGCTATACACACATATACACACACAGGGTCACAAAGAGCAAGACACAACTTAGTGTCTGAACAACAACAACAAAGAGGAACTACATTCTCAAGAGTTAAATTTATAAAGATGTAATCGTTTACAAATAAGTTGTCTGTTTCTTCCAACCTCTCTTTCTCACTCTTGTCTGTGTATCCTGACCCTTGTTCATTATCTCTTGATTAATCTTTGAAAAGACTTTTCTTTCTTAGAGATTACTAGTTTTTGACTTCTGCATACCAGCCAAACAATTACACTTGAAATTACTGGTCTTCAACCTTCTAAGTCTCACGTGTTCTTACCCTTGGGGATTAGAATGTTACTTCTTCACCTCCATTGTTCGTAAATTCTAGATTCTGAGACATGGGCATGCCAGAGTGTTCTATAGAAAGCTCATCACCACATAGCTAGGATCTTATGGCTCTTAACAGATAATTGTATCTAAAACATTTTCTTATGTATTCAATGTTTCATGCTGGGAGTTTAAATAAGTTATAATATCTACAGTTATTTAATCCTGTGGCTGAAAAATGATCTATATAAATTGTAGCATTCACTGTCAGTAAAGTAGGCACACAGCTAATGGACTCCAAAAGAGACCAATTTGCTTTGTACAGAGAGAATATTGCCGGTGCCTTTCCTTCAAACAAAAATTTAACCCTCAAATTATACTTCATATACTTGCTATTAATTTCTTAATGTATTTCTGGTTTAGTTGTTTCTGTTTGCTCAACAGTTAAAGTTGTACAAAAATAAAAGGTAAATGGTAAGGAAAGTATACAGAATACAAAAAGCTGGTTTATAAGATTTATGCTAAAAGGAAAATTATTCATCTGGAAATCAAGGAATTTAAAAAGTCAAAAGAAACGTACATAAGCAAAAGTTAGGATTATAAACTACAATGAACTTATTAATATAAATTAACATGGCCCACTGTTTTTATTCTAGGGAAAAAGCAGTCCTAAATTAAATTGTATGTCTATGATAAGTAGACATACTCAACACAGTCCATAAACAAGTCAAGTATATTACCGATGCATAGCACTCTCTGAATTAAATTTAGGTATGCTTTAAGACAAATAATAATTAAGAAAACCCCTCAGATTTATGGCCGCTGTTGTAATTAATTCAAATATTCAATAGAAATTCATCACAGGGAGAGAGATCTTCTACTCCACTCATTCATTCATCCAATAAATAAATAAATAGATCTTATTATGTGTAAGGAATTGCAGGGGATACAATGAAAAATACGGCATGGACTTTGCCCTCAAGGGGCTTACAGTCTAGTATGGAAAAAATAAACAACCACATAGATAGCTGTAACATAAGGGAGAAAGTGATGTGTCATAAGAAAGACTCAGACAATGTGCTGTGAAAGTCATTGACACTAGCAGACTTTTTTTTTGAACACTACAGTGTTCAAGTAGCCAATAAAAATGAAGACCAATGACAGGTTTGCAAAATTAAATGCCAAATTTTGTGAATCTATGGATGATGAAAGCTGCAATATTTATGCAGTATAAGTCACTACTCTCCCGTTCTTAAATATGTTTAATTATAGAGTAACAACCTATCAGAAATACCATCTTGGCAGTTTATAAGCAGATGCAAATACAATAATCTCATGCTTACAGATAAAAGATAACTTTAATTATCTAAAATACTCATGACACATAACCTTCTTGCACAGAAATTGGCTCAATCAGATTAAAATGATGAAGAATTCCTCGATGGCTCAAGTGTGCTCCAAGGAAAGCTAGAAGGTTGTACAGTTAACTCCCAGGGTGTAACTCTAAACCATACAACCTACTACCTCAACCCGGATGCACACAGCTTCCAGTGTGGCTTCAAACTCCTTATCATATCTTCAGTCAGCTCCTCCAAATATGGCAGCCATACACCTAAGGACTTGGCAAGGATGTAGATATAACTACATAATTATATACATAATCCTAACATTTTACTGATAAACTGAATCTGTGTCTACTAGGACTATCCTAACCTCTTCACTTTCCAGCAAAGGTCATATAAAATACCTTCTGACATCTCTCATGGCATAATTTCACTAGCAATTAATAATATTAAAAGTCAATAGCAATTCAGCTTCATTTTTAAAGAGAAATAGGTTCAACAGTGACACATCCAGTTCACAGCCTTTAATTTTCTAATTGAAGTTAATGAAGTGCACTAACGACTGGAATGTGAACAGAAGTTTCTGAATAGAATCTATGCAGATATTGGGTCAAACCTTGCTATAAACAAAATTCAAGTTTTTAAAATAATTTATTATACTTGGATTTAAACTTCAATGGCTGTGCTGAGTCTTCTCAAGTCGTCAACAACTGAGGCCTGCCTCAAAAGACAGGTGAGGATTTATATATATGTAAGTATAAACAGTAAACAACTGGAGTTTAACAGGAGTTTGATTGAAATATTATTTAACATCAATGTATATTGCATTTTGTCAGATTACCACACTGACACAGACCCATAGAAGCGAGCTTGTGCGGTCCACTTCACCACAAGATCGGATCTACGGGTTTATGCCAATGGGCAACGTCTCACGTGGGCTCCCTAATAATGCAGGATTTGTTGTAAATATCTGATGAAATTAGGAGACCAAAATAATAATATCAAGACTTTAGCATAAATATTTAAATGCCGAAATGCTTTAAGGATGCATACTTCCAGTTAAAGGCCTTCATAAATACTCTACACTAAATACAAGTTATATACATGAGAATTTTGAAAACTGTATAGTGAAAGGTTTTTCACAGATTACTTTTGTTTTAAGAATGAATATTTTGGAATTAGACTATCCTAATTAATGATGAATTTTAGAAGAAAATAAAAAAGAATCCATATATGCATTCATGAATTATGTAATTGTGAGGCATGAATATAGTATTATGAGCCTATAATTAAGACCAAATTAACTATTAAGCTAATTGTGTTAGAGCTAGACAGCTTGTTTTAACTCATAAAACCTCAGTTAGTGGTTTAAAGGAACTGGTAATATTGTAACTTTCTCATAAAACAAGTAAGATTTTGTTGATTACACAAAGAGCACAGGAAGTTATTTAAATTCTTAAATATACATATGTGTCTACAGTTAAATGAACAATATTTGGGTAAATTAATATCAGAAAACAAACATTAATGATACATTAATAGCATTATTACTACTACTGCGCGCCAACATTTATACTCCAGATCAACTGCATGAAAGAGGATATCTTGTCCCTTAAACACAATATATTGAAATTTATTTTTCAAAAAATATGTACTTAAAACATCCTATATGGCTACATACTACTCTCATCTGGTCAACAGGTTGGGCAAAAATAAATTGTTATTAAAAATTTTTTAAATCACAAAACAATAAGCAAACACACAAAGAGTAAACATAAAGCCACACACGTACACATTTCTTAAAACTCCCAACTCAACGGCAACAAAATTATAAGTTGTACATTATTAACCTTTTCACTTATATCCACAATATTTAGCATGTTCAATTATATCTTCATCGTGAAAACTAATAGTACTGCATAAAAATTAATTAGTGTTTTTGCATGTTTTGAAATAAGATAAAATGTTTTTTTATAGATTATAGATAATGTGGTCTACATAATTTTTACTATTTTTTGTTTTCTAATTATTCCCATATTATTAAAAACTGTAGTAAAAAAATCAACACTCAGATATTCAAATGTAGAAAAAATATTTCCATATATATTCATAAATTTAGACATGAAATAAAAGCAACATTTCTTTTGGGTTTTATCTTAACCATAAGAATGTATATTTTGGTTTCATTCTCTTAGTAGATCATTTAAAAAAGAGCAGAACTTCATTCCCTTTCCCCAGGTTTCACTTCCTTTTATATGGTGTGACAAATGACAAAATATATTGTCTTTTTCCTAAATTACTTTCTATTCAATTGTATTTCACCTATATTATAGGAATGGATATTTAGATCTATATTCCAAGGGACCCAAACTGTACGTTGATCCCAGACTGAGACAAAAATTTTTCAAAAAGGTAGGTAATATTATAAACCCTCAAACCATCAGTGACAATTCCAACAGCTAAATCCATAAAGAGTATGAAACATATTCTTATAATTAAACAGTCAAAATTATTTTTTCTTTAAAAATATTAAATATTAATTGCTCTTTTGTTTTTTATTTTTACCTGAGATGATTTTCTCCTATGATCACTTTCTTCACTTCTCATATCCACTTTAAGTTTTTCCCTAAAACAACCACAAAAGGAGAAATGTCAGACAACTGCTATCTAGGAGAATCATCTGGGTGTATGGTGGGAATGAAGGTAGTCGATCGAGAAGAAAACACAATACCAAAATGGGCAAAACCTTTTAAAGTTGTTTTTTTTTTAAAGGCTTGGAAGACTCATGGAACCCCACCCAAGGCTACTCATATGACATATAATGTGGTTTCATAGTTTGCATTTATGCATTCATTTTGGTTGGTGTTGTTTTCACAGTAACAGTTTTGAAAGTGAAAGGAGGCAAGGCTGTTAAAGAAGCGACTAGGTTTTGCACAATGAACTAGTGAAAGCTGAAAAGAGATTTGGATTTGGCATGGAGCTTAATAAGATAATTAAGAGTGTAGAGATTAATGGCTCCTAAAAATAACATTTAAAATAATGTTTTTCAACTAAAGCATCTTGAAACATGAAAACAGGTTTATAAATGTTAATTAAGCCTGTGAAAGTTGATGTTTCATTAGCTGAGGCAGCATAAAGGAACAAGAGCTATTTTTTAAATAATTAGTGAACAATAACCAATAAACTTAATAAAACATTTTATTTGAATGTTATCAGTGTATAGGGTATTTGTAATTTCCCACAATTCTTTGTATAATGACAAAACAGAAGGTAGAATTCATCACCTCTGTACTATTTTTCATTGTTTACCCCATATATTTCTATTACAATAAAATACGATTTTAAAAGCACAAAAGTTTGCTTGAAGTTTATTCTTTTCACGGAAAATATTATAGCATCAATTCTTCATGTGCAAATTATAGTCTTTATATACGCTCTGTATTTCAAAAGCATTCTTTTTCTTTAACAATTTTAAACCATGTTTAGAAACAGTTTTAATAAAAATTAAAATAGGTGCAATACATTGGCTAATCCTTTCTCACTGAACTAGGCAAAACTAGGTTTTTGTTATAAACTGCTTAAATTGCTCAGCAATTTACTACTACAAACAGACAAAATAATTAGAATACAATGCATTTATATGCTGAGCCATTACATTGCTTTAAATGTAAAACAAGTTTGTGTGTACTTTTTCCACTAAAGTACCTAATTGATATTTCTAACAGCTTTAAGACAAATGCTTCTTTTAAATATATTTTAAAAGTCAGTATTACTGTGGAACAAGCCCTTTTTCTACTTAGCAACTGAGAACATGATCTTTATTTTTCTCACATGAAATCTTGGTACGTAAATTAAATATAACTTCCCTCAAACTAAATTTCACTTATTAGAGAATTTTAATACACATTCTAATACAACCCTGTTTAAGGAGTTCAAAAAGTTTCTTCTTTCATATTTCAAATTATGAGTCACATCACAGGAAAGATTTAGTTTCTTTACCATTTAGGGCTAAATGTTCACTTTTCTTAGACAGCAAAAAGTAATACTGTACACAAAAAGCACAGATAACATATTAATGCTTTTCCAAAACTTCTATGTATCACAAAAATTAAAACAGGTACCGTCTTTTTCATAGAGATTTTTCTAGTTTTGCTAAAGTTTCTATTCTACTCAGGATTAGAGCAAGAGAGCAAAAGGAAAAAGTTAATAAGAATAAAGTGGGAGATGAGTTATAAGAGTAAACTGAAAGTGCAAGGACCCCCTTTCATATAACAGCAGACTTAAAAAGAAACAACAACAAAAAAAAGTTATACCTGATACGAAAGGTGCGATTTCACCAAGTGCAATAAATTGCTTATTATGCCATATTTTTGCAATAATACAAATACAGAAGGCTCATTTGCTTATGCTGCCTTACAAAGCTGCTTTACAAAGCGCGATGTCTCTGTAGTTAAATACAAGCCAATGTTTGCTTTTTTTTTTTTAGTTTGTTTTGGTTTGGATTTTTGTTTGTTTGTTTTTGTTTTTGAGCAGGAGCATCTCTCTCTCTCTCTCTTTTTTTTTTCAGCACTGTTGCATGGAGTAGGACAAACTCAGATTTTTTCTTCATGCCTCCTGTTATTTCTTGGGAAAAAAAGAGGGCCAGGGTGCCTGTCTTCTTTTTCTTCCTTCTCGGTATTGCAGGCACAAAGCGCTGCGCAGAAGCTGCACCAATCCTTGCCGTCCCTGGCAGAAGAATGGTAGAAGGTGGGAGAGACCAGGAATCCTTCCAGCCTCTGCTGACTTTAGAAATGAGGACTGCACACGTTTGTCTCCTGAACCAAAAGGGTGAGAAGGCAGGATGCCAGTTTGCTGCACTGCTGCAATGATCTCACGCTCACTGCTGCTGCCGTCCTGTTTGCCCAGTTCAAATGCCTGTTCAGTACAAACCAAAAAAAAAAAAAAAAACTACTTGGATTCTTCAGCAAGCAAAAAGGGTATTAACATTAAAAAAAAAAAGAATCAGCTGTAAGAAAAGGCAAAAAACAAAAAGCACATACAATTTTAGGATTCACTTGTTATGCCTCAATATTCTGTTTATATGTTCTTTCTTTCTCCCCCCAACACCCCCATTTAGAGATAAGCAGCAGAATTTATCAGGCGTGAAAGGGACAGCCTCCTGGTGGCCTGCCAAAAACCCAGAATAAAGGCGAAGTTGTGCTTCAAAGCTCAGTCGCTTGCTGAGTCTGGCTAAAGTCAAGTATTAAGATCCACCATTTTCTGAGCCATGCTAAAAAAGAAGAAAAAAGTCAGGACGGTTCCTGCTTTCCAAGTCTCCGTTGGCACCATCACAAAATCTCAGTCGTAAGGTCACATGATCCTCTGCCAAATGTAGAGTGCATTCCCATCAACCATTCTGCTGATACTGCGAAGGCAGCTATTGTCTCGTTTAGACCCAAAGTTCAGCCCACTCTTCATTGAATTAGCTGAAAAACGCATCACCTTTGGGGGCTGGGAGTCATGGAAACGTCTACCTGGCAAGCTGCCCACTTTTTCTGCCCATCAACCAGAGATGGAATTGTGCTGCCTAATGCAATGATGACTTGGAATGTGAAGAGTCGTCCAAAGTGAATCTGATTCTTGCAACGCCTGCTTCAGTTTGCACGGAAAACTCTGGCTTCTTGTAGTTAAGAGGGAGGGGGGGAAATCTTTCCTACTAAACGTAGCAAATAAAGGTCTGAACATGCCTACTCTGCAACTTTATTTCACAACACACCCAAGTGGTGCTCAAATGAAAAGACTGAAGTCTCTGCAAGTTTTCCGAGTTAAAGACATCCCTTCCTCAGGCTCCTTTTTCCTTATGAGTGCATGCAACAAGCCCAGGACATTTGTTTCAGTCCCTTACGTGAAGACTTAAAATCTCTGAGTTTCGTCTTGCTTTTTATTACTTTCTGATTTTATCTGACACCAGTTTGGTACTACTTGGTGGCAAAATCCACTAGCAACACTGGGAATGCATCACTGCCACTGTCTCCATCAAAGTGGTCCCCTGAGGGAGCCAGTTGTCTCTCCGACCACACAGACCACTGCAACCGGGTCCTGTGATATCCTCCACAGCACCTAGCCCAGCTGCTGTGCAAGCTTGCCGAGTCTGACTCCTCGAGGAGTGCGCTTTCTGTTCCTTCACCAGCTACAGTTTTCCTGTCTGGTATGAAAGATGCCTTTGAAAGATGCAGGAAATATATCAACAGCTCTTAGGCAATAAAATGAAATGGTTCCCTCTCCCCCATGAATTTCCAATCTAGCGGGCGACCAAAGTTCCCGTGGACAAACATTTCCATACTTTCTAACAAAAGTACAGTGAATTAAATCTTTCACCATTCCCTTAAGCAGAATCTAAAGCCAAGCAGGAAAGCAAGTCTTGTTAGTATTTAAACCAAACATACTCAGTAGTACTGAAAAAATCATGTTATTTTACCTGCATTTAAAAGTGTTTCAATTTTTCAATTAATGAGAGGATCTTTAAAACTCTGTTACCAAAATTTTTAAATTATATTCAGCGCCTTACAAAACTATGGGCCAATGTTATCCCTTCTCCATGTACACAACGCCCCCCCACCCCCCGCCACCACCACACACACTGCACAATACCTGCAAAATATTTTAAAACATAATCAAACCATGACTTGCCTAATAAAAGAAAACCATAAAAAAACAAAAAAACCAAAAAACAAAAAAAACAAGGGATCTAGGAAATACCCTGAAAAAGGTATGCATTTTTTTGAGTCATGGTCTTTGGGTCACTTTCTTAAGGAATCGTAGGAATGAATATGTACACACACATGCATGGGAACCATTCTGGTGTCCTCTTCGTTTGTAATTCAGAACACAAACAATTGTAAACCATAAAACAAAAGCTTACACGTGCTGAATTTAAAAACGCTTTTTTCTAGATTGCAAAATTCTGGACAAATTTTGCAAATGTCCTAAGCACATGCTTTAGAGTGTCCGATGGAGAATTGAGCCTGGCAGACACATGTGCCCCATGCTTCAGCATAGTAAGAAGAAAGCAGACAAGCCCTCATAGAAAGAAAATAGTTATATTTTGAGTTCTCATTCATTTATTCAGGAGATATTATTAAGTAGTATTATATGGCCAGGCCTTGTGGTAGACAAAGGGGTACAGCAATGAATCAAATGGGCATGCCCCCAAGTAGGAGTCTTTTGGTAAGAACTTTTAAGTGAGAAAAGCTCACATCTGAACAGAAGTGTTGTAGATCCTCCTAAAGGAGCATTATTGCCAGTCAAGAAACAAAGTGATAGGAATAGGAAAGCAGAATGAAATGGATATAAAAAATAGCTTATAGATAGAGATACTTTGTCATCTGCTATTGAAAATTTACTCCTTTTAATGGAAAATACAATTAGAACGTTTTTACAATTCTGCCCATTCCTTAAAGAACCTAATTTGAAAAGTATATATTGTCATCTCAACTTTAAAAACAAAAATAGAAGATGTGGCAGATATTCATTTCCAGGCAGATGGAGTCGTTTATCCTAAATCCTTCTGCTAGGTACAATGAAAAAACCTGGACATTGTCTGTAAAACAAAGGTAAAAAGACCGAAAGATGGAGAAAATATAGTCCAACTAGGGACCCTAGGACTGAAGGGACAACTGGTGGTGAGTTCCCTGCATTTTAATTTTGCCTCATACATCCAAAACGCGAAGCTGAAAAAGCCTGCAACCCAGAGACACCAATTGGTGCATTCCCGAAATTCCCCAACAAAGACTTGTTCTCTCTAGCCAAAACCAGGAAAGCAGCAGGCTGAAAAGACAGAAAGCACAGGGGCAAATACCATTTTGCTCTCATCAAATGCCACACACCCACCCCAGGCCTGCAAAGGCAGAGCCGGGGCGGGGGCTAGTGCCAAACTTGTGAGGCTAGAACGAAGTACCCCCAAACAACTCCTCCCTGCTAACCCCAGGGCAGTGTAGGAATGTCTGAGTAGGAAATTTGGGCTTCAGCCTTGTCAGGGAATGATGAGGACTCTTCCTCCCAAATACAGTCTCAATGGAGACTCAGAGAGAGGCGGAACACCCATCCCAACCCAAAAGTAATGACTCAAGCTTCTTCCTCCTGCTAAGGTGATGTCAGACAAAGCATACATAGTGGAGAGTCAGGACGCTAGAAATTGCCCAGAAGTCACAAGGCAACCCCACCACCCCTCAACCTGTAAGCCAGAAAAGGCCACAAAGGGAGCAGTTAAAAAAACCACTCCAAATTTCCCTGGCTAGGGAGGTATCAGTGGAGGCCTGCTGGGGCAGAGGAACACTTGACCCCCTCCCTGCAGCAAAAAGTTAGGCGTCAAGGGTGGCCTCAGGCTGCCTGTGCTTCTACCTATTCCTGCGGTGTACCCCCTCTTTCCTGTTGGATTAGTGTCAGAGGAAGCTAGCTTAACCGGAAGGTTCAAATAAGACCCAGAGACTCATGACAGCCACATGTCCAGGCTTCAGCTGGAAAGATTTTGCACACAGAGAAGCAGGACTATCTCAAGCTGAATGTAAGAAGACAATCAATGCACATGAGCACCAAGATGACAGAGGTACCACAACTGCCATGCAAAGATTCTAAAGGCGCCATCATGAAAACGCCTCAGTGAGCAATTATGAACATGGTTGAAGTAAACGTAAAAAAATAAAAGTCTTAGCAAGTAAATGGAAGATACAAAAATAATCACATGGAAATTTTTGAACTAGAAAATACAATGGTGTGTATTAAGTCACCTCAGTTGTGTCTAAGTTTTTGCGGCCCTACAGACTGTAGCCTCCTCTGTCCATGGGATTCTCCAGGCAAGAACACTGGAGTGGGTTGCTGTGTCCTCTTCCAGGGGATCTTTCTGACCCAGAGATAGAATCCACGTCTCTTATGTCTCCCGCATTGGCAAGTGGTTGGTGCGTTAGTACCACCTGGGAAGCCCAGAACATACAATAGCTGAAGTAAAAAACAGATGGAGGGGGCAAAGGAAAGAATCAGTGAACTGGAAGCTAGAACAAAAGAAATCACCTAACCTGAACCACACAGAGAAAATACCCTTGAAAAAAAATTAGGTAACAGAGACGTATGCAACTATGGAACTATAAGAAAAGGAAAAATACTTATGCCACTGAAATCCCAGAAAGAAAGGATATAGAGGGCAATGTATAAAATATGCTCAAAGAATTAACGACTGGAAACTCCCCAAATTTAGCAGAAGTCACACAGATTTAAGAAGATTATCAAACCACAAGCAGGAAATACCCAAAGAAATCCGCACCAAAACACATCTTAGTCAAACCTCTGAAAACTAAAGACAGAGAAAAAAATGTTGAAAGCAGCAAGAGAAAAACATGACCTTACGTATAAAGGAAAAAAAAATTCTGACAAGTGAGTTTCTCATTGGAAACTGTGGTGGCAGGATGAAGGGAACAACATTTTTAATGGCTGAAAGAAAAGAACTGTTAACTCAGAATCCTATGGAATCTATGGAAAATATCCTCTAGGAATGACGGGCAAGTCAAACCAGTATCTGACAAAGGGACACTAAGATAATTTTCAACAGTAAATCTACCCTAAAAGAATGGTTCAGGAAGTTGTCTAAACAGAAAGGAAATGATAAAAGAAGAAGCTTAGAACAAATTTAGAAAGGAAGAAAGAATCCAGTAACAAAAATATGAGCAAAAATTATAGACTTTCCTTATTTGGAGTTCTCTAAGTTATGGTTAATGGTGAAAATAAAAATTTATCACTGTCTGATGTGATTCTAAATGTAGGTAGAAGAAATATTCAAAATAATTATATTATAAATGGTTAAGGATAAAGTTACCAAAAAGCAAGTAAAATTTACGTACTTCATCTGAATTGGCAAAATGAAGACACTAGTGGACTGTGATAAG